AAAAATTATGTAATAAGAATAGTAAGAAAATGTATAATTTATACTCGATTGATCTTCATTTTGATAAATTCATATTTGGATAAAAAGCTATGAATATAATTATATATATTTTTAATATATTTTTAATATATTTTCGCCCTTTTAATTCGTTTGTCGTATTTGTTACTTTGCAAGAGTCACGCTTATTAGACCCGCGCGTATATAGAATACACCCCGATGTGAAGTATATGTCGGTGCATTGCACTCGTGGGAAATACTCCAGTTTCCAGGTGCATCCCGGCGCCCTGTCTTCTACTCTGGTGCTGGGCAAATTGATGTCGTAATTGCGGGCGCTTCATCACTTTTTCACACGCCTTGTAGTCTCGTACGAATGGGATTGGCGCGAGATTAGAAGTACCGTCCGTAAATTCGGTCCTCCTTATCTCCCCCATCGGCGAAAGATCGCTTATTGCACTGCAATCCTTTAATCCGACGCGAAGGTTCTTCTCCTCGACATTTTCGCGAGCGACGTCTCCCTCGATTCCCGAGGAGAGAAGGATCTTTCCACAAAGACTGTCGTTTGCATGCGGGTCTAAAGTAATGTGTGAATCTTTCCCCCGCAAAAATTCGCCCGCGCAAAGTTGACTCGGATTATTTTACATTCTAAAACTCCTCTCTTTATACAGTCGGATTTTTTAGGAATAAATTTACCGTCACTCATTTCTATGCTCTTGTCATTTTCACCGCAACCTATGCGTTACATTTTGCGACGATTTCTCTATTTTCGCGGTTTATCTCATTATTCGCAAAATGCACGTCTGTCTGGCGTCCTGTCTAATTAATACGCGACATTCTGCAGCATTTCTGTCTTTCTCGGTCGGCGGATCTCGGGCTTTGACGTGGTTTCGTACCAGTACAAAGCGAGCATTATGTCCAGAACCATCTGGTATCGAGGAGAAGAGAGAGAGAAAGCCGGAGAAGACTGGGAGAATATTTATCAACAACCCGGAAAGAGGCGGAAATATTTCCTCGCTAGAGAAACATCGTCGCGGACTCCACCACCGTCGCCATAAATCACCAGCTCGCTTTTCCGAGCCGATCGTGTTTTATAAACGACGATGGATTAGTCGTATTAACACTCTCGGAGATACATGGAAATACCGATGAGAGACAATACGATACGGTTCTCGCCCGCGCGCGCGAGACATGCTGATTGATGCCCTCTGACGAGGCAGATCTATTATTAGTGCCTGACCCGTTCAAGAACGAGGATTAAACCCCTTAGCCGTCCTGCCGACAGACTACACTGTTATCCAAGAGAATATGGGGAACCTGGAACTCTGTACATCTCCAGACAAGTAACGGTTGCCTGCATTTTATCGCTCTGCAAATGCAAGCTGTGTTATTTTTATAAAATATTTTTATTAAATATTATTATTATATTATATTAGTTCAAAATATTTTTAACTAATTTAATTATTATTCGCAAATGCTGTGTTATTTTTATAAAATATTTTTATAAAATATTATTAGTTAAATTATTTTTATATTATATTAATTAAAAGTATTCTTAACTAATTTAATTATTTAATTACTATTTGCAAATGCAAGCTGTGTTATTTTTATAAAATATTTTTATTAGTTAAATTAGTTTTATTAAATATTATTATAGTTATTGTTATAAAATATTTTTATATATAATCCACTTTACGTATTATTTCAATTATTATTTTCTCTTTTCAAGATTTTTATTATCATTGATACATAGTCTGTTTTTAAAAATTTTTGGTTCAATTAAAAATTTTTTCTCATTAAAGTTTTTTTTTCGATTTTATCGATTTCGGCGATGTTAAAAAGGTCTTCCTTTATGACCCGACATTCTCCCGTAGCGAAAAACGCGACAGATAAGCTGGTTTAGTAAATCACGTTGTACCTACGCGCAGTTCTTTGATGCGCTTCGCCCCGGCGAATGCATCTTCGCGGGACAAAGGATTACGTGCTTTTCTTATCGCGATTCCGTCGTGCGAGCGAACGAGCTCATCCTATCACCTTCGTGCAAACGGCGGCTTTGTGCTTGTTGCGGAAGCGTCCGCTTCTGAATTTATACCGCCCCCGAAAGATCTCTCCTTCTCGTGTCGTATCTCGCGCGTTGCGGCACAAAAGGCAGCCCTCGACCCCCGGACAACCCGTATAACACTATGAACAATTAAATTCGAGTGTGTTGTCGGTCGCGCGCGCGCAATTTCCGAAAACGCGGGCAACCAGGCGACGATGCGAGGGAATGCTCGCTCCTATTCATAAGCCAATCTGAAATGCAACGGATCATACATATTACATGACGCATGGCGCTGGATGTGGCGGCGAGCGGCGCATAAAAATTTACTGGACCGTTCGCCGAATACTGCGATGGTTTTACATAATCAAGCGTGCCTCGCGGTTTTTTTATTTTTTTTATTAACTCCGGAAACAATTTAATTATCGCGTCCACCGTTCCACCTTTCGTACAGCTTGACAAATGTCACGCTGTTTGAATTGTTTGAAAAAAAAAAAAAATCAAATTTCTCTGCTCCTATTTAATGATTGCGTAGCCTAGTAAAGAGTAGTTTGATCACTTGCACAAACATTCGATTCATCGTTATCAATGATGAATCGAATGTTTGTGCAAGTGCTCAAACTACACTTTACCGGGTTTACACGATTACAAGGCATACATTCGTTATATTTTATATAATATTTTATGTTATATTTTATATAACACTTTATATAATTAAGTTTTATAAAGATGAAAAAAAATATATTGATTTTTTGGGCGAATTTTGCAAATTAAATAATGAAAATAAGACTGCGCGGAATATCAGTCACTGTCTTAATTGCGCAATTAAATGCAGTGCATTATATTTAAACAAAGCAACTATTTATAAGAGGAGATTGTGTATTCGCTCGCTCGGCTCTTTCGTTTGATTGCATGATTAATCGCGAACATGAGATAATATACGTCGGTCTGTCTCGCGCGCTGAAACTGCATTTAAGTGTCACGACGCGACTGTATTTTTCTCGGATAAACGGGGTGACTCACTAGATGCGACTCACTAGTTGCATGTTTTCGTCTAGCCGCGCGAAGGATGTTGTTGGGCGGGGAATTCACAGGGAAGCTACTTTGGCGACGAGCCACGTCGTGTCGACGCTCGTGCCGTGCAAATTCGAGATTTCCTCGGTTGGCATCTCGACAGATAAACACGCGTTTGCAGTTAAATGTTCTCAATTATCGACTATTTTGAACTAAAAGATATCGCGATTCATCCACACATTTATGCCGTGTTTAACACACCTTCTTTGATCGTGTCGTCGGAGCTTTGTTAGATATCATGGTTTCTGGCTGAAAAATGACTCAACCGTTTTCTATTAATTATCGTGTAGTGCTACTCTAAGTTGCTCATCTAGTGCGCATTTTAGTTCGAGAAATTATCAAAGATTAATTCAGTTACGTACAGATTAAGTATTATTGTTTAACTTTGCTATGAATAAGTGTCGCGATTTATCATAGAATTAACGTCTCGTTGACGTCCAACAGACTGCTAAGATCTTCAAATATCTCCTTGTTACTTTCACGAAACATTATGGATTAAGGATTGAATTAGAGAGTGCTAATTACAATGTAAATTAGTGCTAGTCGGATATGTGCAACTTTGTTTCTTCTCTCTCTCTCTCTTTCTCTTTCTCTCTCTCTCTCTCTCTCTCTCTCTCTCTCTCTCTCTCTCTCTCTCTCTCTCTTTCTCTTTAACTTATTCTCTGTTACAATGTCTAATTAACCTAATTTTCAAGTAAAAATATTTGTCTCTCAGATACAATATGGCTGTGTATAATTACTTTCGTAAATTCCTGTAATATGTTCATGATTATTTTTATAATTTATAATTTATTTTTATATTTATTTTTACGTGAACCTTAAATTGTGCCTAAAAATAAATAAAATTGTACAATATTATATATTAGAGACTAAAGAATTGCAGCAACACGATAATATTTTACGTGTATATGTGTGTTGTGTGCATGTGCTCTTGCTAAATGGAAAAATAGTTACGGTAATACTGACTTTTTTTATCGAAAGACAAAAGTTTATCTAGCGTGTCCGATGCATTTTTTTTTAGTCGAGGCGATATTCGAAAATGAGTTCAAACGTAGTTTGCGACCTGTCTCGCTGAATTCCCTAAACTTTTAATTCGCAAGTTATCCACGCTACATAAACTTCGCGTTCGGATCTGCTACAAGTATCGCTCTCGCGCGAGAAAACGGTCAAACTTATATCGAACACCTTGCATACGTTGTGCATGTCGTGGGATACTCTGGAGAACGCACCGTGTAAACTTCATTCGATTTGCAGCACATGATATACGACGATGCATCGATCATGTACTAGAAATAGGTTAACGGAAGTACGAGGTGCTTCAGAAATATCGCCACTCCTCTTAATGACAGGTTTCAATGACGGATTAAGAAGAATGAGAATTGTTCCAACTGAAACATCAACATACAATTTTTAAATAATAAACAGTTCATTTTAAGATTTTAGAGTAAAAATCGCACATTGATCATTTCCATCTTTATCTTCATGATAATTAATTACATGATATATAAGAAAAATTGAAAAATTTAATTAAGTGGCTCCAAGTTGCATAAAACTTGAAATAAATGTATCTTAAGCGATCATTATATCGGGAAATGATCCTGAATAAATTTTGTTACTTTCCTTTATTTTTCAGAAAATGTTGATAATGAAAATATTCCATATTTATTCTCATAAATTGACGAATGCATACGCGATCGTTCTTTTTCTTAATCACTTTATTTGAAAGCCGAGATATGTTCGGACGAAAATTAATTTTCACACATCCTAATTTACAAATGTTTTCCAAAGACTTGCCGACAAATGCACCATCACCTAAGTCAACAAAGCGCGGAAATATCGTCTTAAAATATCGAAGTGTGCATCTCTTCAAATGCATTCCTCTTTTCTGTTGCAGGAAGTGTTGCACACGATCAGCGCGCCCAGCGGGCAGGTACAGCGCATCGTAATCTTCAAGAAAAATGGTGTACAGGCCATGGTTGAATATCCTTTGCAATACATTTTATTTTTACCGTATTTTTGTTTTCTGTTGGTTGTTTCGCCTGCGATTTCAGGTTGGTTTGTGCTAATGCTTCTCAGAAGGTACGCGTGTAAATTTCAATTGTGTAAATTAACACTTTAAATTCAGCGATGTTCGCGTTGCCGTGCCACAATAAATCACTAGGAAAGATAGTGTACCACTAATGTCTTGTTTGTAGAATGTAGTATTATTTTACGATGCGGATACTGCGTGTTTGTATAGAATAAATTAACAAAATTGGAAACTTTTTGGCGAAATGAAATTTTTAAATAAGAGTACTAATTGAATTTTTATTTATTCCATAAAGTGAAAGAAGGAGTAATATAAAAAAATTGCTTCTTTCTAACAATATATATATATCTTCATAAATTCTAAATATTTTTTCAAGTAAAATAAAAGTTATATATTTTTCTTTAAAGTATAAAATTGAAAATATTAAAATTTATTATCTCTTGAATCTTCTCAGTTTTCCGGAGAGAGAATTTTTTAATTTCTTAAAAATTGAGCGTGAACCTTTTCGTTCGCATATTTTACTAGAAATTTTATTCCAAACATTCGATTCAAATTTATATACTTATCAGCTAAATATTGTATTGAAATTTCTGCAAATATTGATGTCAGAAAATCCATTTAAAGTATGTAAGAAACTTGATTTTTGAATTCGACGGTACACACATTGCAACATTATCGAGAAGTGGTTTACACGAGCAAACCGCTGCGTTTCTCGCGAATTTGATTTACACGTGGCATGGATAACTTTGAACGCAACTGCGCGGTAAGTACGCGGAGTCAAGGGTCACCTCTTACATCGAGCTCGGCGAACTCGAAGCCCGCGGGATCAAGTCTCCGTCTGACACGCTTTCCCAGACCGAGGAAACTTTGTCAAGACATGCTCTGCTATTACGACGTAATGAAGATTTATAAGGGGGATTCGGGTTGACGGTGATTCGACTTTTTCGCTACGAACTCTTTCCATACTCTGTTCGCGAACTCGTTCAACGCGCTTCGAGCTTTACTGCCGAGAGAAGCGCATCGTATTTTCAGTAAATCCACCTGGCGGAATATATCCCGGATTATTATGATCCGAATAATAGTCGAGCCGCGTTCCACGTGACCATAAATTCGTTAGAACTTCACGTCACGCCGGATTTTATCGTCGGTTTATAGTGCGTGACGGCCACTTTGCAGGAAAATAACATTGTGACACTGTAGCGAACTTTGTGAAATTTTCGTGTTGTCAGAATGCTACATTTTTGCATGTTTCCTATAAAACTTTCCATGAAAATTCACACAATTTGATTCGTATGATGAGCAATTTTTGGTGATATTTTTCGCATCTTTCATTTTTACCTTTATACACAAATACTATACTGATGCTTAAACTATACGTCCGAGCATTTATTAAATAAGACGTAATAATTTTAAGTTGAGTTATATATCACATAAATACGTGTTCTATAAAAAATATAGCAATTATAATATGTGTACACCAAATTTTACGTTTGCGAAGGATCTTTATTTTTTTGTACAATTTGTCATATATATCCTTAACTGATTTTTCTGATAATCACGTTTGACTCAGTGGAATCAGCAACCAGAGCAAAAGAGACGCTACATGGGGCGGACATATACTCCGGCTGCTGTACACTGAAAATTGACTTCGCGAAGGTGAGTACATCAACAATTACTATTTTTACAGTTGTTCCCATCTTTTGAGAGAAAAATTTATGTGAATTTAGACACGGAAACGTATAACGCTCTCGCAAATTGCTCTCATCGACTTAAAAAAACCTGAATGAATGAAAGAGAAACCATCCTTGAAATTCACTTAAAGCGTCAAACGAATTACTCTCGTTGATTAAAAAAAAATCTAATGAATAACGGTAACCGTCCTTAAAATTCCGACGTTTAAAGTCTTTTACATAATGCGACTTGCGTTAACGTAAAAGTTCGAAAAAGTTGCTCGTTTTATTCGCGACTCATTACCTATTTCAATTAGCAATGTTACAAGTGTTTATAACCTGAAAACAGAATTCTATATAATATTTTGCAACAGTTAATTAGCGACATTTCATGTAAGTACCCTGATATGTTGATCCGCTTCAAGTACGTTCACAAATACAGATTACACATATAGAATTATCAAAATTATAAATTACGCTAAATTATGCGCAGTTATGATTTCATAACTGCAGCAGTCCTTTTGACGACAAATTTAGTTGATAAACGTAAAACATAATCTTTTTCGGCGTAAATATTTCAAACAAAATTTACAGAAATATACAGAATATTATTAAAATAAATTGTTAAAATAATATTGAATGTAACGCAAAGAGATTTAATTAGCGGCACGTGTACCGTTTTATATTGAAAAGCTACGAGACGGAGCTTTTCGATTAAATTTCCGTTCAGAAATAATATATCGCGAATTTATCAGAAAAGAAGATAGAAAAATGATCATTCTAAAACTTTTAATGAAAAATTTATTTAAAGGAAATTAAAAGGAAATATATCAATCGATACTTGTAGTTTAATACGTAGAATAACTTTCAGAATCGGAGCAATTTTTATCCACGATATTGCATCAGTAAGTATAATTCAGTAAGATGTATATCGTACAATAAATGAGAAGCGAAACTTTTTATGATATATAATAATAGAGCTGCCTATTTCTGTAATTACGCAACTCTCTCAGTCTCATCTAGATGAAAGCTGAATCAGCAAAAACTTTAACCGCCGATTTAAGTAACTTATCGCAACTAATGCACCCATGATGCTGTCGTAAATCTTGTAATTTAACGCTTGTAAGCAACACGAGCGCGACACAAGATGGATTAACCGGTTTTTATCTGATTCTACCTACCGCGAGCATTAGCGTGACACGGCAAACAGCTGTGCTCTTTCACGCCTCTGTCGCGACTTTCACGCGAGAAGAATTGAGCGTCATTCACACACACAATACGCTATTCAACGAACAAACGTTCATTGCCAAAGCACGCCGCGGCAAATAATTTTGGACAATTTTTCAAAAATATTGCGTCCTTCCCACAATCACACAGCTCGACTGCTATTATCGATTCGCTAGAAAATACGAACGGAAAATGTATATTTCTTTTACATCTATTACATCCTATTTATTCGTGTTATTTATTTATTTATACTTTTGCTGAACTCATCAGAAAATATTATTTCCACATCTTGAAGGATTATCATTCGTTTCCGCTTTTAAACAGCAATTGCAGTATCAGCATAGAAATGTTGAAAGGAATATCCGCTGCATTAAATCCGTGAAGGTGAAAAAAAGGTATGGCGCACAAAAAGCGCGTCTCTTTGACACAAAGACGTGCTATTATATTTCAAGAAAATACACAAATGAGCAACCGAATATTAACGAATCTCAGCGTCATACAATCGCTCATTAGCGAAAACATTAATGCGCGCGCGTCGCGTCAAATTGCAGCGGATATCATTATCTTTCCACGTCCCTCAATAATTGTGTATAATTTTCAAACTTCAAAAACTTGACTAACTTTTATAAAATATCTTACTCCGATAGAGAGAAAATGTTTTTATAAAATTCTATCATCGGTTGTCAGCCAAAAAAAATGTTTAATTAAATCAGAATCTATTTTCTTTCTTGAGTAAAAATAAAATGGCACAGCACTTTGTTCATTATCGTTTCACGTTCAACTTTAGGATAAAAAGTTCGTTCGTTGTCACTATCGAATGTCGATTGTTTTCTCGTTGCGTACGAAATCCGAACATGGAGTAGCAAAAATAATGCAACGATAACATAATTTTTCCATTCAAATAACTTGAAATTACTTCGATTCGCTGTTATCCTCTCCGATTGCTTCCTTGCTATCGACCATGCGGCTCATATTGGAAAATGTTAGATATTTATTGGCGACAGCGACTGTACTTTTCGTTCGCAGATATCGCGCGCAGCTGCTTCTTCTTCCAACCTTTGGAATACTCGAAGTCATAAAGTACACTTAATCGATCGTCTCTTTGTTTATTTTGGAAAAGGTAAAGATTGTTGACTACAAGTAATCACATATAATTGGAAATTGCTGTGAGTAATCATGATATAAGATTTTCGCCCAAGATATTGAGGCAATATTAAATATAACAAGCGATGAACTCTTGGAATAAAAAAAACTTTTTATTACATCGTCTAGATTTAATGAAGTTGAATTAAGACGGAGACAATCTGTGGAATCTAAATAACAGGAGGTGCAAAAATTTCATACGACAGTTGAAGGAATGTCGGCAAAAATCGAGAGAAATATGCGCATACCAAAATGAAGCGCTAGAGACGGTCGCTTTAAAGCGAAAATAGAGTCGAAGGCGCACGACGATCCAAAGATCGAAATTGGATTTCAAGATGGAGCTTGTGACAGGAGCCATTCTTTTGTCTCCCTATTGTCAATAGAAAAACCTGCCAAATAGCGGTCGCGCTTGTTGGAAAGCTACATGCCACACATGAGCTGCATGAATCATGCGATGGATCTATCCCTCACATACATCTGCGCGCGAGAAGGAAATCGTATCACAGACGCATATCAGATACATCGGAGGAATATTTGAACAAGCCACCGCGCATCATTCTGTAAATCCTCTAGATGGATTTCTTGAATTTCTTCCATCTCTCTCCTCTCAATGCATTCGTGCTTTGTCGGGAATTTTTGTAAGACAAACGCAGATGGAATAATAATATCGCGTCTGTTATATATGGTTTTCTAAGGGTTGCTTGAAGTGAATTTATAGCCAAAATATTTTTTTTTCTTTAATAATATTATTTTCTTGAAAAATATAGATCAGCGTATATTCTTCAAAATATCGCACAGCATTATAGTTTATGCAATCGCGAATATTAACGGGTCGGTTATGCATTTTTTTATTTTCTGCAATTTTGCAAATATTCGATGAATAGCGAGTATTATTTTTTATTCTGACATATTTCTCTTGTCTCTTCTTAATTCGTTGTCTTTCCTTAAGAACGTTATTACTGAAGCATTCACGAAGTTAGCACACGTTCTCCATTATCCCATTGTTCCGTCGTCAAGACGGACTTTTTTTTCTCTTTTTGAAATTTCTTCGCTTCGAGCTGATATTGCTAACACTGCAACTTGTAACGTGTACAAACCGTTTATCCCCTTTATTTCCTAACGTCCACATCTTCATCTCTTATTATATTCAGAGAATTATTAGACTTTTGTTCTCCATCGGCAAAGAATCGCGAGACTGTTGCATCAAAGTTAAAAAAGATGATAAAGCCGGTCGTTATTTAGAAACTGTGAATCGCAGCGATGTAATAACTGCGCTTTTCAATGGTCTCTTTAATTGGAGCGTGAAGTCAGATAAAAATTTAAATGTCACAAGCATTGCGTCGTCGGTGTTCTTTATTTTCTGGAATTTTTAAACGAATTAATTTCATTGTGATATTATAAGTTTGGAGATCGCGACAAAAACGCGCGACATGTCCGGCCATTACCGCGACGAGAGATCTTCATTCAATGAATATCGTAAAGAACATTAACAAAGTTGCTTTACATGTTCATTTATCGTACTTGAGATACCACGTGAATTTTTATCTAATGAAAAATGTCATCAGGAATTCAAGGTATTTTTTCGTTACATTCGACTCTCGCGATATTAGCAGCGAAAAACGCGTATACAGTTTCACGAGATCCTTTAAAGTCTAAAATGAAGTAAAAGAGATAACAAGCGCAACAGAAAAAAACAAAAATGTTAAACTTTACGTATGATGTTTAAGATTGCAATATTTCAATTGAAAATTCCTAAATTCCTGACCAAACTTGACATCAATTTTTAACGGTAATTTATTCATTCTTTTCTATAATTTTCCGCTTTTGACATTAACTATATATAATTCAAAACTATAAATAATTCAAAATTATTGGCATTTTATATTTTTATATTTTATCGCACTATATTTTTTCAAGAGATACACAAAAAAATATGCAAGAAAAATTCAAATTTCAAAGTATATTTGCTGCGCGATTATCGTTAATGCTAAATGGGAACAAGGAAAATGTCTCCTTGATTATACCACACGACGTTCTATTTTTCACTTATTCGTTTTGCATGACGATGCGATTCCCGCTCGCGCAAATGAAAGAATGCAAATTTAGTAATTACTCATGGTATTACTACGTCGGACATTTCTTTCCGCAGGAAGAAAATAACGGAGCGTATCACGTTGTTGCAGAAAACGACGTTACTAGGATCTAATGGGACATATAAAAAAACAATTATTGTCTCAAATAAATTATTGTCTCAAATAAAGAGATTTAAAGAGGCATAATTTTTGGCCGCATCTTGCGATCCTGAAATTACATTTTCTAACGCGAGTGCATACGCCGCATTCTATCCATACCGCCAACTATTCCACATTTTGCTTCCCACTAGAGAGAATGCAGTGCCACTCGTTTATTACGCGGGAGAAATACAATGGGCAACATTTATATTAAGTGTTTACGTGTGTAAAGAAGATTTATATTTTTATATCTAAATTTTTATCAAGATAAAAGAAAGAATGTTGTCATCAATCTGCCTTTTTTCCGTGATACTTTATATGTAATATAAATTTATAGTTCTATATAAATATATATATATATATATATATATATATATATATATAT